ACCTCCATTTCCTCTGCATTGTTCCGAATCCTCCATTTCGACTCGCGTCATCGTTCTCTCGAAACACCCTCCAATTCCCGCTTACCAAAATTACTCGACTTTTCCCTGCAGCTCTATATGCCTTCTCTTTTTTGTTTCTTTTTCGTTGACTCTTGGATTTTAGTTAAAACCATCGATAAAAAACACTACAACCGTGAAAAAATTAACTCGTTATAACGCTACAAGGCCACGAGAAAATACTAAAACAAAGCTTCCTTTCTCTCGGCTCTTAGCACCCATTGCGCCACGAAAAAATCTACGTATACAGAGAAAAAAAAAAAAAAAAAAAAAAAAGAATAGCAAGCTTTTTACTTAATGAATTTATCGGCCCATAATGTTTGGTGGATAAAGGAAAAGAGGGGCCACACGGAGCAAACTCGATTAGACTACGAGATTATCGGAGCTGTTGTGCTCTCGCGCGCCGATATTTTTTCGCCCCGATATAGGGGAGGGGGGGGGGTCTATTATTATTTTTATTACGCGTTACGCGTGAAAGCTCGCGCGTGAATTATTATCGAGGGAGACCTTGCGACGCGATGTCGTTCGGCTTGTTTGTCAACTCGGGGATTTCTCGACTCGCTTGCACGTACGCTTGACTTTTTTTTAAATTAAAAATGTACAAATAATCCATTATGGGTACATTTTTTATTAAAACACACCGCGTGATTATACACGTAAACATCGATTTTAGATGAAAAAACGTACACCTGCGCATCACGGGGCGGAGTATGAAAAACGTATCCGAGTTATCGAGCGCGTATTTTCACACTTAAAATCGGAAAAAACAAAAACTCCAGCTCCGAGTTCATTTGGAGTTGTCCAGGCCAGAAACGTCGATATCTGCATCCGGTACAAATAAATTAAGAAGTTATAGCCTATGCGCTTGCGGCCCAGTTTCACCTGCGCATACATCATTCAGTCTCGATTTTCACGTAAATAAGTTCCAGGAGCTTAGCACAGAGGATGACTTAAATCAGATCGATCAGATATACTTTGCGGGGGAGGAAAACAATGGTGTTTTAAAGGTCGATTAAGGACGAAGCGGGTGTATACTCAAAGGGGCTGGGGTTTCTTCCTGACGCAAATTGTTTTTTTGGGTGCTAAAGTTCCCGCAGGGATGCGGATGTGGCTTTAATCAAGATATTTTTTTTTTGTTCTTTTTTAATCACCTTAGACAGAGGGTTGAAGAATAAAAAAATAATTTTGAGGTATTAAAAATTTCCTTAAAGGCGTTAAAAAACACATGTAAAATTAAAAAGTGTCAGGGTCGCGTGATTAAGTTCATCCAAGAGTTGCACGGTTTCAAAGTCGTGTAAAGCCCCGGACCGTCTTCATGGGTCGGATGGTAGAGAGTGGGGCTTTGTCGCCCTCTTGGGCCGCGTTCACGTCTCGATTTTCCACTTAGCCACAGAAATATGTCGTGAAAGGAGCTTCCATGTATTGCATCCGCTCTATAATGGACACAATCAAACGGAAAGATGAATTCAATCGAATTGATTTTAGTTGAAAAGTATTAAGATTTTTTTTTTTGTCATAGCCATTTTAATGCACCGAATTTTGTTCGGGTCGTACTTTTTACTATTCGAAACTTCGTACCTTACAGAACTGCACGAGCGATCCGTTTACTTTGAGATTTCATTGAAAAAGGGTTGGGAGACGCTCTACCTGCTAATTAAATCGATGGGCGCGAGCAAAGAGTATTTAAGGACAATCGCGCAGCCTCTGGCTACTCAACTCCGTTAGTTGCGAAAACTAACGACTTTTCACTCGACTATGCAAATACACGGTGGCGGTGAAATAATTGACTCTCGGGAGTGCGTGTTTGTTTATACGCTCCTGGCCATTTGGCGCGTCTTTGTTCGGGGAACAATGGGAGCGTCTACACCATCCACGCCGCTTGACTAATGCCCTTTAATTCGAAGAGAGAGAGAGAGAGAGTTAAAGGGCGCGTGAATTTCGTAGTGCCGTCACTGTGCTGTACCAGGGGTATATATTGCAAGTGTCGTGCCGATGGTACGAATTACGAGGGGAGAGACTGTTGTTATCTTTTTTTTAGCTTCGAAAAAGTGGGGCCGATCCAAATCCAATAAAATTCCATGTACATACACAGAAGGCCGATCGCGTATACAGTTGACGTTCGACAAAAGCGTATATGTATACGATAATATTGATGATAGTGGCCAACGTCACTTTGGCGAAAAATCCTTTACGGGCTTTTCCCTCCGCGTCATCGTGGTAATTACCGTCGTCATCGTCATCTTTTACGAGAACCGAGAGCTGTTATGATCTCGCCGAGGCAACGGTGAATCGCAAGAAAAAATTAACACTGGCCAATGGCAACAATGGCCCGTACAAGATCAGCAGTTCCTTCACCAACATAAGTACAGAGAACCAGAATACGGACGATTGCCGTCAAGGTCGGTCCTATTTTTCCTCCCCTTCCTTTCATACCTTTCTGCGTGAGGGTAGTAAAAATCATCAGCACTTACCCCCCGGCCAGTACTTATTGCTCTGTAAACGCGTGGTAAAGTCTCCCGGGAGCGCAACAGCACAAGGGCTATAGATTTTATCGCGAGGGACGTAAATACCAACGTACGGCTCGCGAACGAGTATGCATGGAGAGGAAAAACGCGCGAGCCGGGCTTGTATACTGTGTCAAGTGCAGAGAAGGGGCCGAGTAGGTATATACGTGTATGTATATGCACACAAGCATATAGTTACGTATGCGTATGGTGTAGGTAATAATCAACGCGAGAACAGATTTATCCCTCCACCTTCGAGGAGGTTTCGAGATTTTTTTTTTCCCCTCACAGTATGGCTGCCGCGCGTCGGAGCCAGTAGTACGAGTCAAGGTATGGTCGGACGCGCGAGTGTTTCCCATCCCCCCGTGGCAAAGAGCGCCTCGTATTCATCTCGGCGATATCGTCCGTATCTTTTACTTCAAAACTCACCGAGCCGGTGAAGTATAAGGGAGAGGGGGGGGGAAGCACCCGGTAGTCCAGGGTGGCGGGGCGGAATCGAAAGATGAAGAGCAGCCAACCGGGCGCACGCCAAGTGGGTCTGCATCGCCATACACCGACCAACAATGGGAAGCTAAAAAGCAACCCCCTCCCTCCACCCTTTTTTCTCTCTCACCCTTCGCCCCCTCGTGCAGCGGCTCGGTTGTGAGCTAATCAGGAGTCCATTAGCAAAACTGGCGGAACTTTCCTCTCGATACCACTAAACTCCTCGTGTGCATCGAGACGTCAGCGAGGAGGCCTCCTCCTCCTCCCCCTTTTCACCGACAACCACTGCTGTCGGCCCCCTCGACTATACTGTACTTCCATGCGCTCGAGTTCTCTTTCGCGAGGGAACACGTCCATGAAAATCCCTCCCGCTCCTTTCAGAGCAGAAAATTGTTGTTACACCCGGTGGAATTTGTTTTCCGTTGCATAAGCATCGTGTAATCGCTGAAGTTACGCTCGTTTGATCGATCTTTATACATCGCTCAGCCGATTTTTTTATATGTACAGTGCAGAGTAAGGGCTAAGTCGATGCAATCAGACGTACGTAATGTACTTACACGATTCTGCGTCGATTCCCCCGTATGTCTACACAAGTATAGAAACAAAGGGAAAACCTATCGAGCCTTCGAGTACGCGCGCACGTGCACCGGTGCAAACGTAAATACAAACAGAGCTCTGTGTACTCTGCTGAATGAATAAAGCCATGTATACACAAATTTCAGGTATTATGTGTAATTTGTTGGGAGCGTTTTGGGAGGTAACTCGAGCCTCAGTTACAACTGCGTATCTGCTATTTGATGATACACATCGCAAGTTTTTCCAAATTTTATTTTTATAGTGATAAGTCCTTAGCGACGAACAAGTTTGCAGATTCTTCCTTCTGAAAAGGTTTCGATCCCTCCCGGAGATTTTTATCTTTGGTGTCTCTCGTTCCCTCTTTTCTCTCAGAAAGGAGGCTCCTGGTGTCGATGGCTCTCTCTCTCTCTCAGCTGGCAAGGGAGTAAAAATCTTCTGTCGAGCCCCGAGGATGAGAAGGTAGAAAAAAGGGCTTTCCCCACTCGAGCATCTTTTTATATTAAGAGATAAAATAAGGCCTTTTTCGAGTCAGTCGCCGTGAGTGGCTTCTTTATCTTTTTTTTTTTTTTTTTACCAGCTGCAGCTTTGAAAAGGAGAGCTGGGTATGGGCGACGGCTCTTGATTTACTCTACTTGGCAGACAGCCCCAGGAAGAGCAATGTTCGTTCATTAATTTTGTTTCATTCCGATGGATTTAAGAGAATTACGCGGGGAAAATTGCGTGAACCTGTGTCTCACTTAAATTAATACAATGAACGTTACGGTCTTTCCGTTTACACCACAAAGCCTTGTTCAAGGAATCAGCTTTTAACGTTGCTAATTAAAATCATAGTAAAACAGCAAATTCCTGATTGTGTCTAAATTATTATTAAAAAAGGTACGCACGACTACTTTAGTTGGAGCTATTAAATTGGTTGGTAAGCAAATGCTTAACTTTGACAACAGCAACAACATTACATATGTGTTCTCTCGGTCGAGAATCGATGCACGCGTACACGTAATCAACAATTCTACTCGGCAATTGAGAACCGAAATCATAGACTCACGTCCTAGGCTAGCCTGCAGTTGCACGCAATCACTCACAAGAGATGTACGAACCAAGCCATTCGCTCTGATTAGGATGCGGTTTTTCCGTGCTTTGCTTTCTCCCAAATGTATTTATGTGAGCGCTTATAATTCTCTTTGTGCACATCAGGTTGACATGAGTTCCCTGATCAACTTTTGTGAATTTGTATTGTTTTTTCATGTGGCGTCATACTGTCAGTGAATGGGCTTTAAAGAAAAAAAGTTTCAAGTAATTACTTTACAAAAACTTCTTTTTTTTTCTCATATGTACACAATTAATTTTAATATCTAACAGAATTGAAATGTATGCTCCCTCCCCTTTTTTTTAAACAAAAGTATATTAGCTGGGTTCCGAGCCTCGCGGAAACTTGATATCTTTGTTCTCGTCGAGTAGTCCTATAGCATCAGACTCTCGGGTTTCAAAATCCATAACAAGTTGAAAGGCCCCTATACACACTTATACCTGTAGATCTTCAGATTACAAAGTTAGTCGTCCAACTTTTCGCTTTCTATAGCTTATTCAAAGGATCTGAGGGATTATGTCTTACGGTGCGCAAGTCTATATTCGTTTCACCGACTATCGCGTAGAATTAATATTTAGCAAAAGTGATTCGCCAACGTTATTATATGACTAAACAACAAAGTCTCAACAAAAGATGAATCTCTCGGTATTATTAGTAAGTATTACAGGTGCAGTGTACTTATTATATACACCATCGTGTCCATTAACCGGAATTGAGCAGGTACACAAACACAGCACTCTCGCGAATGAATTAATCACCGAAACGAACTTTCTCCCTGGAAGCCTTGTATGGAAGCTGGGGGCGAGCTAGCTACTCTTTCCCTGGAGACGCGCGAGCTCAGCCCTCAGCCTGTCGGTCTCGAGCTCGAGAGCCTCGAGGCGCCTACCCGCCTCAAGCTTCAAAGTCTCCAGGTTCTCAAAGTCTTGCCTATGCTTTGCCTCCTTGGCTTCCGACTTTCGCTGGGAGCGTAGCCACTCACACCACACCACCAGGAACAGCAGGAGGAATACCACGACCTATAAAATCAAAACTACTTTAATAAATATTCTTAAATTTTACCTGATAATCGATGTACCAAGCATATTAACCTCTATCATAAGCTGAGAGGCGATCTCGACAGCCTGTTCGTCCTTGATAGACGGGACCGCTGGATTTTCCTGATTAGGCTTTTTAGCTGCAGCGATATCCGTGGCAATCACGGTCGGTTCTTTCAGTCTTCTCAAATTCGTATCGAGTCTGTCGTAAACCCGACCGACTGTGATGATTTTCTGTCGGAAGAATGGACGGCTCGCGGCGTACTTGACTATCCGCTGGGACAGGGGCTTGGTTAACTGCCGAAACATTTGGGTGAAGAGTGCCGAACCAGGAAAGGTACCCGAAGCCATTTTTTGGTCCTTTTTCGCTTTTTCTCGTTCCTTTCTCTGTCACCTGTCACACGCGTGAAGTGAAGGTTGGAGGCAGAGATGAGTAGACTACTCATCTCTGTTGGAGGTTATGTCAGTTTGTTTACCAACTAATCCCGTTTCCCATGGCACATACCTACAAGGCCTATCGATTTTTTGGTAGCTTTCGATCGAGCGATGAGTCGATTATCGAATATCGATTGGCGATACTCATCGACTAGTAAGTTTCTTACAAAGGCGCCAGCTACAAAAACATGGTTTTACCGGAATATTTACTTATTTAATTTGTACAATAGAAATAAATAATCACATGTACTTGCGTACCAATTATAACAACTATTTCGGCATAAACATCGTCTCACATGCAGGGATCGGAGGGATGATTTGGAATAATTTATGACGCGCGTGTAAAACAGATAAAAATGTCAAACACGTGGAATGTGTCAATAATATCATTTATCTGAATCCAAATAAGTAAATAAACAAACCCGTGAATATTATAGATTTCAACTGTTACAGGGTCATATAAGAAAGGAGTGTAGGGGCAAGGCAGTTGAAACGTATTTGAAAAAATTAATGAACAATAACACTACTTACATGTAATTATGTATCAATTATTTGTAAGTCTTAAAACACTTGAATAATTAATATTAAAATTGACGTTTAACAAATTTTGAAGTGGTACTAAAAATTAGAGAAATAATATTATTTCCACCATCAGGTAGTCAATAAAATATGAAAAAATAATAATCCTCTAAATTCAAATACTTTTATTATTTAATTGTGTGTATAATTCAATTGTAAATATGTTTAAAAAATGCTTATGAGTAAAATGGCCCCGCAAGTTATTTACCTTTGATTTTTTACCAAAATGACACAACTTTGGCAAAAATGCGTATTGATGAGACAACTCAAATCTCACTTGGGTTAATTATTCTCTCGAACAAATTGTATGCTAGTAATGCTGTAAGCACATAAATCAACATCAAGTGACAAATGTGGTTGGTACAAAGTTAGTCAGCTAATGCTCAAGACAGTTGACGTCGCGAATATAACGTGACATGATAACACAATTTTCGACGCATCAAAAACGGAAAGTTTTTCGTAAAATATTGTAAAATTGAACAAATGTCGCCGAATAAAAATGTTGTAACTCGGAGGCTTGGACACACATGTAATCTTCTTGGGGAAAAAAAAATCCATAAAATGCGCCAGCTTACCGATAAAACTCCCCACAGGGAAGCAAAAAAGGATTCCGACTTCGAAATCCGATAAAAATCTACACGTAAATTAAATCTGTAAATAGTAGCTGATGCCTGATTCGAGAAGCAAGAAACAAGGCTTTTTGTTAAACGTCAAGCGTAAATATAACAAAAGCTCGCGTGTGCACTGATATCCGTAAAATAAACTTGAGAAACGTGTACACACGCAATCCTCGAACAAATAGATATTTCTCGTCCATATAGTCTATAAATAAACAGCCACGCTCCGGCGCCCGGCATTACTTTTGGGATTTACGCAAATGCAACGCAAGCGTTCCGCTTCAAGATAAAACGAAAAAAAAAAAAAAAAAGGTTCTCCACATGCGTCAGTCGAACACCTTGTGTTTCTTTGCTCGCACATAAAACACGATCAGCTACTAGTGTAAAATCCTTTTTTGAATTTATTTTCACAAAATCGAATCACTGAAAGAATATCATTTATGACACGCACGCCAATACCAATCGCCTTAATTATCGTGTGCGGCTCAATATCGGAGAACTCGTCCAAACGAACAGTTCCAACTCACGGGGTGAGCTGCCGTTGTTATAAATATTGGTATGTTTTTCGTATCGCGCGTGTGTCACGGAAAAGGAAGATTAGAGAGAGAAAGAGAGATGCGTTGACGTTGACGCGCGAGAGAGGTGTATCTATTCGTGCTAGCTGATGGGAAAAACGGGAAAAAGTCGATAAATCGATTCTGCGGGAAGCTGTATAATTTTCTCTCGATTTTTCGGCTACCTAATTTCCTCCCCTCCCTTTTTTTTAATGTATATAGACTAAGAATTTGACGAGGTGTGTGTATTTATGTTACATTCTTATAATCATTTCTTATATGCCTACAGAGAAACAGTCTGATTGACAGCAAAGCAAATGTGCAAAATGGTAAAACCTAGCCCTAAAATGGGAGATGCATCAGTCTTGTGTATAGAGTTTGCACGTGAGAATCGTCTGTAATTTCTACTACTATAATGGACCCATGTGCTCGTTTTTTCAGTTAAAATCAACTTCTCTACATTTATGTTGTGCATTAAAAAGTAACATGCATATATATATATATATATATATCATTCATAAAGGGTGTGGCTGTTACTCGCGTATCCTTGACTAGACTTTTGCTGACAATAACTAAGATTCTGTAGTGAAAACGTAAAGCTCTTCCGTGGAAAAAAGGGGAAAGAAAAAAAGAAATTAATTTTTACAAAGCAACGATAACTTTCAACGGCACTCGAATGGCCAAACGTGTGTAGAAAACAAAAAGTATATCAAATGCACACCCTTTCAAATCCGCGCTCCTGTAACTTTCATACATTAGCTACCGTCGCATCCAGAGAGAGAGAGAGAGAGAGAAAGTACTTCAGATATGATAACCAAAAGTGAACTACTCGGAGCTCATTCTCAACAGCGTCCTTGTATCCCGTACAGGCGACACGGGAGAGATGTTCCCTTTTTTGGATGATTGTTTTTTTTTTCCCCTCAGACTCAGTTTTCCAATTAAAAATCGCAGGGTCCAATCGAAACTGCAGCATAACTTGGAGGGTTTCCAACAATTTCATTCTCTACTTTTTTCGCGTGTGCAGCTTTACGGGAAAAAACAATAAGGCTCAAGTTGTCACGTGCAGCTGTTTTCAGTCATACTTGACAATAATGTGTACTTATCAACGAGGCTCAGACTACAGCGAAACCACTATTTAAAAAAAAATAACAAATCAGTATTGGTATATACATATTACAGGTCCATCCTGCATCCAAAGATATACTATACACGAAAAACTCGATCCTTATAATTTTCGTTTTTTCGACGCGCGACCACGTCGTTAGCACTGCCATTTGTTTTTCCAAACTGTCCACTCGATGCCCGCGGCCAGCTAACTCGCGCAGGTGTATATACATGTACATATATATATATATATACACGTTGCAGCTGCAGCCAATCGATGACAGGTCGACCTGGAAAATCACGGGAACAGGTGCACCTCTCGCATCCGAGGTGTGTACATATACATATAGCTCCGGGCGGGGGTGTGTGGACGAGGAGGGGCTGCGTGACGCACGTATATTATATGAACTCGAAAATTCGTCCCTGCTGTACATCATACAATACGATCACACGCTCTACTGTATTATACACATATACACTCCCCCCCCCCCCATACATAAATGCATCCGTTCGCGCGCGCATCTCGCGATATTCTGTGTAATACGCGTGTATAATAATAATAATAATAGTATAATACAACACGTATAGTATAATACCGGTTGTTATAAGCCACGCGTTGTTGCGTGCCAGAGAACATATATAACACTGGGGGTATTATCGAGTAACCAAAGTTGCTTACCCATCATAAGCTTACAGCTTGCTTGTCTCCCGGCTGTTTGTGCGCGTATATACATTATTGTGTATAATATATTATTATAGTCAACGTGTATATTATACGTTTTATAGTATCCATCCAGCATATACAAATGGACGATAAATGCCTTGTTGTTGTTGTTGTTGTTGTTTATAATGCGTTTGTACGCGCTTAGCTTCGTTTGTTATCATTTTTACCTCGGATCGATCATGTATTCCTTTGGCTCGTGGTGAAGGCGATACCAGCCCATGTACAAATTGTGTTCACATGTGAATTTGGTCCTTCTTGATATTATGGACAACTACAGCGTCCGCGCACTAAACAGCTTTATGTAACGTATACAAAAGTAAGGGTGTTTTTTTTTTGCTCCCAATTTTAGCGTTTTCCCAACTATATATTGTACATGCGTGTGTATCATTTACAATAGTGCGAGACTCGCGAGGATCCGGGGATGATTTATCTATACGCGTTGGAGGACTACCTCTTGTACTTCGTACAAAAACAGCTCATCGCGCGAGGATTGCACGGAGAGAGCCCTTGTGCTGCGAGCACCGGTCAACACGCTCGAGAGGTCCTATATATACTCACCCGGATATTCCTATGAATTTTTACTGCCTTGCATTAATAGCCGGGGTGCTATAGCGAGAGACGAGGGAATTTAATTTCAAAGTGCCCCTTCCCCCCTCCTCCTACTTTTTCTCCCAGCGTGTACACATATACATGTATATGGATTTGGCCTGCATCCAATCTGTATAGGCGCAGCTCCGATCATGCCCGTGTGCGATCGTTGTGCTGGCAGAGTGTGCTCGATGGGCAAAATCGATCACTCGGCGATACGCAATTACCCTCGCCTCCGTCCGCCTGCACATACGCTCATTTGTATATCGGGTGTATACTCTTTTTTTTTTCTCTATTTCTTTCTTCGCATAAAAGGGGCGTGTACATTAAACACATTTTGTTTAATTTACTGAATCACACATGATTATTAAACGTCTAAATTATACATTCGCTCCGTGCACAAACGGCAAAAAAATTGGAACTTCAACACCCGATTCGCATTTGAAATACATGTATACTTATTAGTCGACACTATAGCGCCAAATCCATAGGTACACGTATTTCGGATACGGCCAACTTTTTTCTTTTTTACACCGCACCTTCCATGGTGCGAGAAAAAACATACCTTGAAATAATGTGTTGGAAAAGTTAAAAACATATGGTCAACGGTGCAATTTCTCGAATAAAGTAAAATGCGAATTGGGAATAGAAGTTCCAATTTTTGCCGTTTGTGCCCTAATGGGCCTTTGGCCTAAATGGTTTAATAAAAAAAAATAATAATAATAATTTTTACAATTTAGGATAGTAACTTTTGTTGTAAGTACAGTGATGATTTTTACTGTTTGTACGATAGAAATTACTGTCTAGCAATGAAATGGTAAAAATTAGGTTGGCCAAAGTAAAAAGTCCCTAGATGGTGGAATGACACCGGATTACCACTCCAGCACAGTAATTTTTATTACATTTTTCTCGCAGTGTATAT